AGAATCGCCCAAACGGTCCTTCAAACGGCCATGTGGCAGAGTTTAGGGGGTTTTGGTGTCCTTTTGCAGGTGAATACGTAGCCTCAAAACACAAAACAAATGGCAGATATCCCTCCCACGTTGTCTAAAATGACAACGTCATAAACTGCAAAGAGCTTCACAACGCATGTCACCGCTCCCAACCCCGAAACCTAAAGGCAAACTTTTTCCTAGGCGCCATGTTTTCATTGGCATCGCTGTTTGACAAGCCCTCAAGGCTCTGATTGCACATGCCGTGGGGCCTAAAAAGTCAAGAAGAGGCAGGGTCAAAGCCGCATGGCATCAACAACGAGCAGCTTTCGGCGGCTGCTTCTGCCCCTGGCTGCAATGGCCAAGACAAACTTGCTTTGGGCGAGGGGAATCCCGCGCCAATGTGATTTAAAAGCCCAGGGGAGCCCAGGGGATGTACGGCATCAGTTTCATGCAACTGGCAAAGGGGCACGAGTTGCCCCTTCAACCAACAACTCAGGGTGAAAGGCGTTGTGAGGGCTGGCCGGTACTCGGCACGCGCCACCAGCGACCAAGCCGCTGCTCGGGAACGAACTGCAGCGCTCCAGTGCCAACCAATGCGACCAGCAACTCCGCGTCCTGCAAAACACGACCCTCTCCCCAGGAAGTGGCCACCTCACTTAAGAGAGAGCCGTTTGCCAGCCCAGCCTGTTCTGGACAAGTCCATTTCGGAGGTATCGCCCCCCTCAGACACTTGCAAACCAGGCAGCCCAAGCAAACGGAAAAGCATGCGTTCGGAGAAGATGTAACGGCAACAGGTGCAGCCCAGCCAAACCGAAACAGCGAGCAATCCAGCCCTGCCGGACAGTGGGGAATCAACGGGATTCAAACCCCCTGGTGCGGGCAAGCAAATGTGCGAAATGCAAGCCCGGGACCGTCACGACGGACACGACTCCCATTTGTGGGGCCAAACCCGCGGACGCAAAAGCTTAGGCATCGCAGGCATAGGCGATGCATAGCAGAACACGAACTCACAGAAGCCTCGGACTCAGCGTAGTCAGCAGGAAGGGCCATCATGGTAACTTTAACCGTGTGAGTTAGGCGTTGCTTAGTCCGGCTGAAGACCCTGGTTTGCATTTTCCTCCTGCCTCGTGCTGCTCGCGACGCTCATCGAACATGTCATCCACGTAGGCGTCCTCAGATGCCCATTGCCAATGGGCACCCCTCAAGCCCAAGCATCCTCAAAAAACGTAGAAACGAAAAAAGTGCCCAGGGCTGCTGGGGTGCAGGGGCAGTTAACCAATCGTCAGGCTTCACTTTGGGAAGCAAGTGACACTGTCCACATCTGACCAACCATCAGATCGTTTCTGATGTAACCCGCACCTTTGCTAAACCTAAACTACAAGCGCAACTGCAGCTGCTGCGGCCTTCGTTACAAACACATGCTGCTTCTTTCACATGCCTGATTGCATTGGATATCTGATCTGCAGCGATCCGCTCTTCCTGACAACAATATCATAATCTCTTCATGCTTCTGCTTGTCCCTCTCTTCTGTGTCGCGCCGGTCTTCGTTCTTTTGCATCGGAAAGGCGAATAGTTCCGCCCAAGTCGCCGTCTTCTGCAGGCCGTCCTCTTGGTCCACCAGCTGCTGCAAATGCCGCACCCGCCGGTCGCTGCAGAGGCCGTCCACCACCCAAATGAGGGGATGCTCCCGAACCTGGGCTGTGACCGAAAATGCAACAGCCTTTTGCACAGTCTAAGTCCTCCAGTAGAGAGGTTAGAATAGGCCTTTTTTCTGTAGTCTATTTTAGTAGGGCAACCCTCCCCCAAAAAAAGGTACAAGGGCACTACTGGGGGGGGGACCCAGCAGTGCTTGCCCAAGAAACCCCCTTGTAGTGAAGGAACGAGTTTGGAAAAAAACACGGGCACCTTGCGCACGTTCCAGCTGAAAAAGTGCAAGCTGGATCGCGCAACAGACCAGCCTCACAATCGTGGTGCTTTGTCAGGATATCATCGCCCCCTTCTCAAAGACAGCATGCAAATCAATGCAATGCTTCGAGATCATCTTCAGAATCAGTCATGCTGGCCAGACTGATTCGGAAATATAGTAAAACGTGTGACTTCAACATCACTAGGGAGACACTGCGTCGCTACTCTCCCTGCAATCTGGGCAAATATCAAAATCACACGGCCACCATGGAGAGACGCACATTGCCGCACATTGCCGCACACTAGTGATCTTAGGCCAATGCAACCAAGGACATATGGCCATGGGTCAAAATCCCGTAGCCCCCAGTGAACATCCCACTCCCCACTAAAAATCCCGGTTCGAAACTGTGTGGTGAATTCACCTACCAACCAAAATGGGATCCAAAACGGTTTTGACCACCACCGCCATCTCAGGCTGACGTAAACGAGTGCCACTTCCTGCGCCTCGCGGCTACATCAATGGTCACCGCGCGGCGCAGCAGCCGCCCCAGCGGCACAGCCAACAGCGCGCAGCGCGCGCTGGGCCGAAGGCCGCGGCCTCGGGGTCCCGGGGAGCTGGGAAGGAGCTGGGGAGCAAACACCGAAGATCTGGGAAAGCTCGCGTGTTGATGGCAAAGATCCGCATGAGAACATGCGGGTAAAGCTTGAAACCTCATGTGTTGATGGCAAAAATCCAAATCAGAACATGCTTCCATGCTTCCGAGCCCACTTTACCGTGGGTCGAGTTGATCCCAATGCACCCGAGCACCAGCACCTTCTATGTTGTTGAAAGTCTGGAAGAAAGTTTCGTATTGTGACCCAACTCTCAGCAGCAAGAGAATCAATGGGATCTTTCTCGGCTGGTCTATGCTCTGGGAACTAAGGCCACGCGCAAGCCCCACGTCCCAAGCCAGACTCCAGCCTAGGCTGAAGCCTCAAGCAAAACATGCCCCATGAGGGTGTCAATAGCTGCTTCGCTTTTTTGCAACCCCCCCCCCTCCCCCTCCCTCAACCCGTGAGGCGTGCCTGCAAGCCGGCATGCTGGCTGGCATCTGGTCTGCCTCAAGGCAGAGGCTCTCTCCGTCTGTCCCAATCGCCAGCTGGCCAAGCATGGCCACCCGATTCTTTTCTGAAAAAATGGGACTCCAGACCCCATTTTCCACATGTGGGTGTGGGTCAAAGTTCAACCACCAGGGGACAGCCTGTTTTAGTCATGGGTTCCATTTACCAGGGCAAGCCATTTTGGGTACCCAGGTTTGACCCACAGCCATGTGCAATGCGCGCGCGCTGAGGCCCGCACATCACAGGCCGCAGGCGGTGCGCTGGAGGAGATCCATCAAGGCCACGCAGCGCGTGGAAACATGCCATGCCAAGCTCCCAAGGGTGAACAGGCTTGACTGGATGGGCGAATGCCTCGCTTCCGCCAGCAAATCAGGAAGGGCACCGCGAAATTCCGAGTCAAGTCAGGGTTTCATGGCTTCACCCGGCACAAGCCCAAAAACTCAGCCTCTCAAGTTGAGCCTAAAGCGAAGCTTGCACTGGTGCGACAGGCGAGAGCGGGGGGGGCAATGGAAATCGATTTCCGCCAAGCTTCCCCTGGCTCGTGACCAATGAAGCTGGACAATGTTTCTGTGACCGTTTGGTCATGACTTTGAGAGTCGAGGTGTATAGCAGCGACAAACTCTGGAACGACATGTGGAAACCTGAGAGAAACACGCATGCCAAGCTGCCGCAGTCCGAAAGCTGAACTCACTTTTGATGTCTACACGAACTTGAGAGGTCTATCGCCGAAGGCTTTCTGCAGGGCAGGATTTCCGCTCTGACTGACAAGTGAAACACGTAGGCTGGTGGAAAATGAAGCTCCCTCGAACTTTCCAGGCTGAGCAGCTACCAAGACGACCGCAAAAACTCGAGAGTGCAGCGAGCGGAAGCTTGCCTTCCAACCAGTTTGCCTGAGACAGGTTTTCCAAATCAAACAGCTTTAGCCTTTAAGCGTGCAACTTGGGAGATGCCGTTGCCACGGCCTTTTCCCGGGCCACCTGGCCTTCACGCCTAGCTTCTCAAGGCCCACACGCAAGAAGCCGGCCCTCATGCGCCCGCTGCCTCCGACTCGGCCTTCTTTGCATCCTCCCCAGGGCCCGCACTGGCTGGGGGCAACTGCTTGAACGAGCGTCCGAGTCTGAGAGCCCTGGCTTCTCAGCCATGCGATGCTCTGGACAGGGTCAGCATTTTGTTTTGCATGTCCAACGTCCGAGACTTGAACTGCATAAATTGCACTTGTCTGTCTGGAACCTCTTTGCGCAGCGCTGTCAGTCTTGAAGAGGTGGTTTTGTGGGCTTGCAAAGATTTCCCTTGTGCAACTGACTGGCTCATTTGGGGGTGCCATGGGCGGTTTTTTCAAGCAGAGTTCGGGCGGCTTTCTGTTGGGAGGCCAGCCTTTGGGAGGCGAGCCGTCTGAGGCTTTGCACTGTCCTGCAAGGCCTTCAGCCTGATCTTCTCCACGCGAGTCTGTACGTACTTGTGGATGTCAACCACGCCTCATTGAGGCAGGTGGACAACATCCTGCACCAGTTTGGATAATGTAGATGGTTCAGGTGGGTAAACCTGAGATCTACCCTCACAGCTTGTTGCCCTCAGTTGCCCCAGCTATGCAAAACTTGTTGGTAGGTGGCTCATCCCAGTTTTCATCCATCCCAACTGGTGCAGAAAACTGCGTCCAGTCACGTCTGCCGACTGCCCTAGGTGGGGACCCGTCAACCTCGTGGCCTTCTGGGTCGGTTGGCAAACGGGGCAAGGCTGGGCCCGCAACATCAGGCAAGCAGACTGTTCAAAGCATTGCATGGCTATTTGGCCACGGGTCAAAATCCCGGTTAGCCCCCAGTGAACATCCCAACCCCCACTAAAATAGATTAAAATGGGTGGTGCACCGAAAACCCCAAAATGGCATTGGTTTTGACCCACAGCCATTTGCAAAAGCATTCCCTTGCATTCGATGCATCTGCCTCATCCGGATCAATGACACTTCGGTGCAAGCGGGCTGCCATCGTCGTAATCAATCTTCTGCGCCTGTCACTTCAGCAAAAGCAAGGTGCATCTATCTGCACGATCAGGCTCAATGCTCGAACCTTTGACCATACATACCCTATACTATAAATATGGCAAGTGTGTAAAAGGGGGCAGGCCCTAGCTGAAAGCTAACCGATTGGCTAAGCCGATCACGGGGCAAGAACTAGCTCTTCCGCTCCGAATTGCCCGGCCTCCGCAAAGTCTGCGGAGCTCGGAGCATACTCCCCCAGGAAGCGCCGAGCCTTGCCCCGCGCTCGGTAGGCCTCGCAAAAAACCCCTCGCGACCGGCGTCGAACAAGCTCGGGTTTGGGCACGCACACGGCCCGGGCTCAAGCATGTGCGTGTTTTCGTCTCATGGGCACTACTAGTTGTGCGATTGGACTTCCTGATGCATTCTGCATGCAAGTTCGTGAGCTATGGTCTTGCTGTGCCCCAAGGTGTGCTACGTGGCTCAAGCTCCGTGCCTTGGCGCTGTCCGGGTTGAGCTCCAAGGCTTTGGTGGCATCGGCCACGACGGCCTTGTAGCGCTTCTGCTTCCTCAGCGTGGCGAAACGCTGCTCCCGCAGCCGGAATGTACGAGGGAAATTCAGGCCTCAAGAGGAGCTGCCACAGGGAACCGATGAGTAGAACGACCTACGACCTGACCGGCATGCCCTCCCTGGAGAAAAGAAGCGCGGGGACAACCGGCAGTCGCATGTGTCTGCCAGGATGCAACAGCATGTCTGCCCGCTTCGCCAGCATCATAGCCGAGACCTTGGAGAAGCATGTTCAAACACTGGCCGCAATCGAACAGCCGCAGTGCTTATAGTGCTTATCATATCTTATCATCTTATCAGAACCCCCGCCTTGCTTGCGGGCGGGAGGGGGGGTTCGAACTTCTCTTTCGAAACAGCCCAAGCCGTTTTCTTCATCGACAACTAGCGGTAGTTCCCCCTGCCCTTTGCAAAAAAGGACTTGTGATGCCATCTAAACGTGAGTGAAAAAAGAACATCAGACATGCGACCTTACGCTTCTGGGCCCGTGGGATTGGGCTCAGAGCGCGCAGTGCAGTGATGGCAGCTGGCCTGCCCTAGCTTTCGGCACTGTGCCAAGGGACGCCTCCCAGCATCATGGCCTCTGTAAACTTCTCCACGGCGGTCCCGAGGTCCCCGTCCTCTAAGGCCTGCGTGCTGGACCAAATGGTTGCCACTGAACGTCTGAGTTTGAAGTCATCTTTAAAACAAAAATAGGATGCAAACAAACCATCCTGCTGCCAAGAATCATCTGCTGCCTTGCTTTTCAGCTCACCTTGCTTGTCAGCCTCATCATCATTCAGCTCCTGGCAGCGAGCTGAAAGGCCCACTGCACCAAGTTCAATCTCACGGACCGGACCCCGTCCCGCTTTCGGTCTTGTTGCCATTGTTGGGTTGGGGTTGGGGGGGGGGGAATGATCCTCTTCGCGTTCGCATGAGCAATCTTCTTGAGCCCAGTGACCCTCCAGCGCGGATCGTTGTGTTTGCAGACGTGGCCCTGATGCAAACATGTGAGCGCAAAGAGCTCTGCATAGCGCTTCGCTGGCTGATTTGTAGTCATTGTGCACTAATTTGGCGATAAACAGCAAAATCACGTGGTCAAGGCAGGGGACCCTCCAAAAGGAACACTATTAGTATCAGGCCTTGTGAGTCCCCGCCCCTTGAAGGGGCGCCCTTGACAACTATAGGACAAATGGCCCATTCTTGCATCAGAGATGCCAGGAAGGTATCTTTGAGCTTTTCTTAGTAGGTTCTTGGGACCCCACATTCGAACCCTGTTGGGGGGTAGGCGCTGGGAATGCGACTGCCGACCAAAGGGCGCGCCAAAAAATGCGTCCAGTTCAAGGGTCATGTCCCCAGCACAATTGACGATTGTTGCCATCAACTCGCAGGTTGTTGCTGGACTGCTGAAAGCCCGGCCAGTAAGCAGCCCGTACGGAAAGTCGAACCAAACACTGCATCTGAAACCTGGAGGGCCACACAGGCCGATTGCAATCGAGCGCGCGCAAGTCCTTGCTAAGGAGTTCCTTGGCGCACTCACACTCAGCAAAGCCATGCGCTTCTCTGGGGCTGCCCTGGGGTGGGGGCTTTCGGGTGAGGTCAAGGCCTTGGCACCTGCATCTGTCCAGGGTTGAGGGTTTCCTGAGAGCATGATACCAACGGCAAAGGATCGCCACTCATACAATTGGACACCTCAAATGGCCTTGGATGTTTAACCCGCCTAGTGAGTACCCAAGGAGATTGACTCGGCTATCCCCCAAGAAGAGGTGCAAAACGACTGAAATCAAACTTAAATTGACACACACCAAAAAAAAGAAAAAGCAAAAAAAGAAGTTCTGTCGCCAAAGTTTCGGCGGAGGGCATCGGAGGCAGCGGCTCCTCCTCTGCAGTAACCAAGCCTTCCTGGGCCGGAAGGCGAGCACCAGCCGGCGGAAGGGGGGGCAAGTGCCTCATGCCAGAGGGGCCTTCTCTCCGCACTATGGGGCTGCTTTTGAGAAGCAGGACAGGGGTTGGAACAGCATGGCCAAGTGGCGGCCCTTGGACCATCTACATGACCGGCGGCTTAGTTTGCCCACTGCACTCGAACAGCAGAGCCGATCGCGGCTGTGCAAACCGTCTGAGTCTGGATTGCCGAGATGCATCATCTGACAGCACCACCGGAGGTGCCTGGGAGACAAATGGAAGCTGACGCTCAGTTCAGCTCAACTCGCTAGCCACGTGTCGATGCCTTCATGCGATAGGACCCACTCACTAGGGCGTAGCACATCTAGGTCCTCCAGTTTTCTCTAGTCTATTTTAGTAGGGGGGCCCTCCCCAAAAAAAGGGCAAAAGGGCGCTACTGGGGGACCTAGACATGTCTTTGCTCCCCAGCCATCGTCGTACTTACGGGCTGTCAAGCACTTCATTCTCAGGACTCCTTGCGTAGGCATGAAGACGCAAACCCTTCCACGTTCGACGCACTAACAACCCACATGAATGTGCTTGGTGCTGTTCCATTGCTGTTTACAGGTCCTGTCCAGCTGGAAAACAGATTGCCAATGCATTCACCATTGCGTTGTGGTGAACCAATACCCCTTCCTGCCTCTCAAGCAGTAAAGGGATGAAATGAGAAAGCAGACAGGCACAGACACAGAAAACAAAGAGACAGACAGACAGACAGACAGACAGAGACACAGACACAGACACAGACACAGACACAGACACAGACACAGACACAGACACAGAGAGAGAGACAAAGACAGAGACAGAGACAGAGACAGACAGACAAACAGACAAACAGACAACCAAACGGCCGCGTGGTTTGCCAATTCTGCCAGGATGATACCAATGTGAAGCTCACTTCCTGAGCTGATGGCCCAAGCAAAGTCCAAACTTTTTGTTTGCCACTAAGATTGGGAACCTAACAACTATAAAGTCCATGAACTCAGGAAAAGAGGAACCCAATAAACTGGACGTCGCTTCCCCCCCCCCCCACCGATTTTCCCCCCACCCCTCCGGAGCCCCGCGCCGTTCAACCGGATCTGCGAGTCCGAATCCGATCCGCCTCCGGCTCTGGAGGCACTGCCACCGTCAGCTCCATGGTCCTGGGCTCGGACATCCCTTTGCACCACTTGGAAGTCATGGTTGAAGCATTGCTCGTCGAGTAATGTTAACCCCGGATTAATAAACCCCTGGTTGATTCATAGGGGGGTGTCCCCTTTTAGTACCTTTTAGCGGGGATCTATCACTATTGGAGGGGAACACTGCCATATTCATCAACCAGGGGTTTATAAATCCGGGGTCAACACTATGTCGGGGAATCATCAGCAACCACAATTTCTGAAGGGTGGTGCGAAATGGGCTTCCTCCACACAAGGCATTCGAGACTTGGCAAACGGCTTCCGGGGCCCGTCTACAGATTTGGGCGTGCCGGAAAACTTGTTTGAATGCGTGCTCGTACACGTTTTTGAGCCTATGACCAGCAGTCAGGCCTTGCACGGAACTCTTGGGGGGAGTACAACTTGAGCTCAGTCCATCTAGCAGTACCAAGCTTGTGCACCGATACCATGTAACAAGCTTCAAGCTGCAGTTGTCGCCTAACCATCTGCGCCTCAACCCCGCCCCCTCCCCCCAAACTGACACGCACCGCCAAAAATTGAAGCTCCAAGCCCAAAATGGAAGCCAAAGCCTCAACACCTTGTCCAGGGCCAATTTTCTGCTTACCCTGCAACAAAGCAATATCCGAACCTCACTGAGAGCACAAGCGCTGGCACTCCTTGCCAGCAAAGGGCCTAATGCCGAATGGCCATCCGAAGTCATCTTGCCAGGGCGCTGGCCGTTCCCGAAGCCCTCCACGTCTTGTAGTTTCGTGGTTTCCTCCAGTGGCTCGCTGCCTTTGAAGGACAACGACTGGAACTTCCTGGGCTTTCGGCGGCGTCGGCTTTCTTCAATGTTCTATGCCGATGTCTCAACCTCAAGTCAATGAACAATGAACAAGTCTATGCATGTGCTCCGGGAGTGTAAGAATATAAGAAGCGGCAATCCTTCGGAACAATCTGCGCAGTACTCGAAGTCACTGGCAAGCGTCGGGTGCGCCATGACAATGAGCGCAACGCGCTGCTTTAGCATGTTGACCGTCCTTGGAATCTGAGACTTGGCTGTGAAGGGGGGCATTGCATGTTGCAGTGCACAGGTTGCGGTCGAGGTCTTCAAAGCTGCGCACACCCCTGCCCTGGCTCCCTTGCATTCAAGGCTCGCATGACCCTCAATCTGAAGAGTCAGGTCATCTCCAACTTTCCACTTAGTGCCTTTCTTGCTGTTGATGGCATCGTTGTCCATGCCTCAGGCGGCACGCAGCCAACGACTCCAACTCATGAGCAAGCTCATGCGCAGTCTGAACCATCTGACAAAATATGATCCATCTTGACCCCCCCCCTTTCGGCCAGGAGACCGACAATCTTGACTTTGATTGTCCATTGGTCCGCCATTGCCAGGCGGCAAGAGGTCAGCCGACTCTAAGACACGTCCAGACCGTCAAATATGCAGCTAATGTTGAGCTGGAAAAACGCGGAGCAAGCATGCAAAGCCAGGCTGCATGTCATGTAGCCATGAAACAAGCCACAAGCCACTAGTGAACCTACAACGGTTTCAAAAAACAACCGTGCTTATAGAGGTCAAATCTGCATGTACCCACTCTAACCTCAAAATAATGTTGTTTGGTTCTATCAGTGAGCCAGGCACACTCCAAGAAGATCTCTGAACACCAAGGTCAAAACCAAAGGAGAAAAAAAAGAAGAAACGAAAAGGAAGAACAAAAACGGATGTCATTCTCCGTGGAATCAAAAAAACACCTCAGCCAGACATCAAACAAAGTTGACGTCATTCCACGAAAAACACCACCAGCTTTGAAACGGCACCTCTCGTTTTCCGCCAGAAGCCCAGATAAATCCACCCGCGCCGGTTTGAGAGGGGCCGCACCCTCAAGGCCAGGAAGCTGAAGTGCTCCCCCTGGCGCCTGACTGACGAGGCCTTGCCCCACATGGCTGTGGTTGTCAAACATAGGCCTTGCCCCAAAATGGATCCCTGGCAAATGGAAACATGGACTAAAACCTGCGGTCCAATTCCTGCTGGTTTGATTTTGACCCATACCATTCCCAAAGAGGCGTCCGGGTGCCTAGCCTGGGGCGCCGTGGGCGGTTTTTTTTTTGAGGTCCCATGGGCGCCGGGGTTTTTCATTCAAGATCGCACTGCCCCATCTCAAACAGGTTTTTCCCATGGGGTTGTCAAGATCGCACCACCTTAGGAAAAGGTGTCCTTTGTGTGTGACGAGGCATCGCCTCAAAGCCGCACGAGGCTTGGCGAAGAAAACGGTCCTCGCTGAACAGTCGAAACGCGTCTGCCCAGATTCACCCATTCTGCCTGAGACGCGCGAGGATTCGCACAGAATGCCTCAGCGGGGTGAGAGTCTTGGGTGAGCCCTTTGCACCCGGGAACAAGCCGCCGGTGAAACTTATTCTGCGTCCGGGGCCGCGGCGTGTGAATCTGGGAGAGGGCTTCCACCTTGTGCAAAGGAACCGCCCAAAGTGCCCAAGTCCAAGAATGAGCCATGTCGTTGTCAGTCACCATGGCTTTGGCTTTCACCATCGAAGCTTTAAACCTTTAAACTTAACCTTTTTTATTGAACAGGTGCGAAAAAAAGTCTATATGCACATGATTCAGAAAACAAGCACGCTCTGCTAGGAACCGTCCATGATGTATGAAACTCACCTTGAGGTCGCAACCCAGCCATGCACCAGAAGTACCTCGGCTAGGCAAAAGCTCATGGCGCCTCGTGCTTCAGCAAAACCTCTGGGCGGTGATTGCCTTTGGCGCATGCATCCTTTCAACATATGCTAGCACACAAAATACATATCAATAGAACAATCTTGGACACGAACGAAGCCAGTAAGACGTTTGCCGCTGCAACCTTCGGCTCGGGCCGCACAGTGTGGCTCACCACAGGTGCGGCAACTGCGTGGCGGTTGACAAGGGCAAACCGCCCTCCTGTGCGGCCAAGTGGCGTATTCCCGCGCCAGCAAGCCGGTCTGCATCTGAAACTTCAGAGTGTAGAAGCCCTGGAGCCGCAGTCAGCCACCCCCGCCACTTGCCGACTGTTTGCACGCACCCGGCTTTTAGAACGCGATATGCCGGGCCCCAAAAACCGATATGGACGCCCTGCCTCCCAGGTCTTGGCCACCAGAATCAACCCAGAGCTTGGGATGTCCAGACCTCAAGCACGGCGAGCCACGCACACATGCACATTTGCACACGCGCGCGCGCCTGCCCTTTTCGCAGAACCTGGTGGAAATATGGAGGCTACATGCAGTTGCCCTGACACAGCGGAAGCGAGAGAGTGAGAGAGAGAGAGGGAAAGAAAAAAAAACTCAGAGAGCGCAGTCTGGATTCCGCGCGCTGCACGATGCCAAACTGGTGCTCCTCGTAGTGAACCTGGCGCTAGCGGCGAATGTGGAATCCATTCGAATCTGGAATCCTGGATGCCAACATGGAGGCAGGCCCTCGTCCATTGTGCATTGGATATTGAGCATCGTGATGCACCCCAACAACACACGGAGGCCACCTTGACTGCTCTCTGGTCCTTGCAAAATGCAGCAAACAAAGCATCGTGAACATCAGTTAACAAAGGCAACTGCATGCTCCCCTTTGGGTAGTCCGGCCGGTTCTTTGCGACTTGCAAAACTCGCCGGCCCTGCAATGGGAACCGTCCGGAAGTCAAACCTCAGATGCCCATAGAAACAAGGCAGTGAGAGCAGCCATAGCCACCTGCCGCTTGCCTGTCGCAGTCACGGTGGTTGGCCAACTTTCGCCCAATATGGGAACAAAGCGGGATCCAAAAGAGACAGAAACAAGTACAATGGCAATGGGCTTGGGGCAGTTCACAAATCAATTTGTGCAAACATTGGACATGCCTTTGACTGTAGACTGGGCCATCAAAGAAACCACAAAACGTGAAGCACACATGTATTGTGGGGCTCCCTAACGTAGGCAGTGCCCCAAGCCCCGTGACTTTTGGCTCTGGCTGCTCCCACAAAACCTCACCTGCTTCTCGCATCTTCCCGCAAAGCAAAAGCAATGCGCGCCGCGGAACCCCGCTGAACCGCTAACGGCCTTCAAGTGTAGCAAGCAGCCCACTTTGGCAGCTCCACAAGAGCGGCTCCAGCATGCAAATTTCCCAACTCTTCGGTACAAATGACATCTGCGAAGCATTTGTCGGCAGCTCCTTCGCAAGAATCCCAAACGTTTCATACAAACGTACCAGGAAACCAACGCCTTGCCAGCTCCAGCTCGAAAACCCAACACGCGCAAGCAAAGCAGGGGCAGAATGAAACCAATGACCTGTCACGATCAAATTGGACAAGAGGGTTCTCAAGCATGAAAGGCACAATGTCCTCATAAAACCTTTCAACTCAAGCTTCCGCAGAGATCCCGCGGCGCTAATTTCAGCAACAGACTGGCGCAGCGCGGCCCACATGTCTTCTTGCGCAGAAGCCTGCCGTGCTCCCCGGCGTTTCTCTGAGCCAGGACGACATCCAAGGCCCGCCGCCTGCATCCTGCGGCCAAACAGCCGGAGCGCATGGAGTGCCCTCCCCGAGTCCTGATTGTCCACCTCCCAGCCCGGTGGCTTGTTGATGCAGCACACTTCACGCCTCACGGACCAGCGCAAGCCCAACGGGCATGACTTCAAATTTAAGAAAGGAATTATTCAACCACTGTGGCCGCCAACATGGCCCCTGGTGCTTGAACGGAAGTCAAGCAGGGGGATTGGACAATTCCTGCACATGCACCGCGGCATGTGCCCGCGGCGGGATGAATATCAGCCTTTGTTTGCGGCTTGCGCACTTGCCAAGCTGTCCAACAACCGCGGACCATGCCATGCACTGTCCCTTCGCTGTGTGTGTGTGTGTGTCAGCAGATGCCCTTGCACCTTGCACTTTGCAGTTCTTTGGGGATTTCAAGACAGCCTTGGCTCCAACCGGAGCAGGAACAGAACAATGGCGCCCGGTGCCAAAGAGCCTGCAACAGCCTCCCCAGCTGAGCCGCTAGCAAGTCCAAACGCAAGCACGGTGATTCTGCTGGATGATCCTGCGGCACGTTTGTCCAATTTCTCAAGCAATCGCGGAGGCGCAGACGCAAACTGCCCAACAGGTCTTCCTTCGTGCTTGGAGGCTCCCTTGAATGGCAAATGGAGTCAAGCCATGGAATCCATGGAAGCCCCTGCTCCCTGAAAACATCAGCCCCTCACAGCCTCTGGAGCCATAACGCCAGCTGCCTTGGGAGAAATTGGCCTGCAAGACCTGGCCAGGTTGCCCCTTTTCCCTTCCCTGCCAAATGAGCCGCACAGATCTCAGGTACATTTCGTCACGGTCCAAATGCTCTCAGGTATCACAGGTGTACAAAGTGCAAACTGCTAACTTGGACCTGGGGAACAATATGGCACCTGACAACTTGGAACTGCCCAGTTTCAAGGGCGATCAAGGCCTGCCAATGGCTTGGAACAATGGAGCACCTGACTAACAAAAAAGCCATGCATCGATTGCTCCACCTCAACATGGCCAACAGCCAAACCTCTTTGCGGAATCCAAATGGCACTAGCTTGCAACCATGCAAACCTCCACGGGCACGAGCTTGAAAGCTTGCAGACCATGCAACCTTATTGACCAAATGTCAACATACAGACCAGACCGACCAGACCACCCCGGCGACGAGGTCCCCGACATCTCGGCATCGTGCGCACGACCAAGCCGTTGCCTACAGAATGCGTCGCCCATATCGTCTTCAAATACCTTCAATTGGTTGGTGGGTTTTCTCCTTGAATGGACCTTCCCTCCAGTTATCCAGGCTGCTTGAGAAGACATTCAGACCCAACAGCAAACTCTGGACGAGTGTCAACCGATGGCAGAACTCATTCCAACGGCTGCACGTCTGAGGCTGTTGTTTCCTAATTGTGTCTTTCCAGATGGCCAAGCCAACAAGCGAAAACGGGAATATAGCACTGTCAATCTTCCAACCTGGGTGCATCAACGCGGAGCCGGGCTGACCATCTTCTCAGCTGTCAACAAAACAAAGAGGAGCAATCCCCTGAGGGACAAATCCAATTAAGCAAAAGCTGCCCTTAAAATGGACGAGGCCGGCCCACCCTGCTCTGCAAGCGTAACTTGGGTGAGTTGTTATCTTGGGTGACTATAACACCTGAGATCGCAGCAAAATCTCCAGGATCCTCGCAGCCAAGGCATCTGGCGGAATGCGGCCATGTGCCGGTCGGATGAGAAAGTGAGTGTCAGCATACCGAACTCCACTGTGCCATCATGGCCATGAAGGTGGGAGCGAGGCTCTGGCGTCAACCCTCCATGTGAAGGAACTGGTGCTTCAGGCTGCCAATGCGCACTGCAGTCTTCACATGACCCACGACTTCCTGCCTGAAAGCACGGCG